TGGGACATGTGTTGAAAGCAGCAGCTGGGTTTGGTGACATTGAGAGCAGGGGGAGGAGGAAGCAGCCAGCCAAACTGCTTCATTCTTGGCCATGTCACGGCACGCATGTGCATGGCTTGGGAGCCCGCCCAGGAAGGGCTGACAGCGTGGGCAGCATGAAGCCCTGGGTTGCTCAAGCTCCTAGACAGCAACCCCTGCTGCTGGGTGCTGCAAAGCAGCCTCGATTGTCAGTGATTTGGGGACAGCAAGATGATCCACACATCCGATCTAACTTCTTCCAGACCTCCGTCAGATCCATCCACTGATCCATCCTCTTCCCTCTTTACCTGTCCCAACTAGCAGCTGGCTTTGAGAGGTGTCTTGGAGCCTGGTGGCACTGAGTCTCACCCCTGTGTGGCTCGGGGCACGTAAAACAGCCCAGCGCCGTGGTACAGCCGTAGTTACACCGCTATGGCTTGCTGCCATGTAGGCAGGGCGACAGACTGGTAGCCTGGGCCATCTTTGCATCGGTAAGCGAGGCTGCCCTAAGGGCTGGCACCAGTGGGACGGCACCACTGATATCTCCTCCTGAAAGTGTTGCTCTGGCAAAGACGGCGCAGAGGTCTGAGCTGTGCTGTGCTGTATCTACTGCTGCGCACAGCAGGGCCCGCTGCAGGCTGCGGGGCGAGGCGAGGATGGTGGCTTAGAGCAGTTTGTGCAAAGGATGTGGGTGAAGCCCGTTTCCGTCTCACTTGTTTCAGCCTCAAATGGCACCGGTGGCACGGCAGGCGAAGCCCTCCCACCCCTCCTCGTGTGGGTGCCGTGGAAGCCCGTGTCGGCTGTCCCACCGCCGAGCCCACGGCTGCACGGGCAGAGCTTCAGACTGACCCCCGGCTGCTGCGTTGGCTCTGGCTGTCCTGTGGTCACACTGCCTTTGGTTGCTGTAAGTAATAACACGTCAGCGCTCTCGTGACAACAGAGTAAACACTTGGGGAGGAACCCGGCTGTTGACTCAGCGTGGTTTGAACGCTGCAGTTACCCGCAGGCCTACGTCGCAACGGGGTTGCACAAAAAAAGAGAAGCATGAGATTGCTAAACTGCGCTGGTGCTGGGGTTCTGCGTGCACGGCCTCCGTTGGTCACTGGAAAGAGAAAGAGCCTGAGGGAGTTCAACCGGGAAGACGCAATTAAGAGAGAGGCATATTGCAAAAGTGTATTAGATAATCAGAGCTTTCCTTCCTGTAATTTTTGCTCACCTACAAATAACTATTGAGGAAGTAACTGCGCTATCTGCTCGGATGTTCACTGCGGGCAGCTGCGGTTTTACGGTCCCGTTTGTCGGGGACGGGAGCCCTGTACGGGTTTCGGGCCCCATGCAGCCCCCGCCAGCCCCACACGAAACACCCCTGTGCCCTGCAGGTGCCTCGGGATGCCCGACCCTGGGGCTGCTATAACACACCTCAAAGCATTCCTCAGCTCTGCTTTGTAAAGATCTGCTTTCTCTGAGTTTATCTTACCTCTGCCTTGAAAAAAACCAACCAATTATTTAAATCCACGTAAGATACAAGGCTGATTTGGCACGATGCTTATCCGCATGAGGAACGCCACACAAGCCGTCCCGTTGAGAGCCGGGGAGCTGCTGCTCTGGCTGTCAGTGAGGCTGGAGACGAGTGTTTGCGGAGTCAATGCTCCGTCAGTCAAGGATTACTGCTGGGGCTTACACCCCACTGTGCCCCCCCCCAGCACCCTTTTTGATTTTTTTTTTTTCCTCCTGGCAGACTTTGCTGAAACCAGGAGGCAGCGAGAACATGAGGCTGCAAGATCTGCCTGTTGCATTTGCATTTGTACAGCCCGGCTGGAAATCCCCCTGCACCTGATGTTCTCTGCAAGACATCCCACCGTCTGCCCCAGGCGAGGCTCTGAGCGAGACAGGAGTGTACCAAGCCCAGGGCACAGCCTCGGAAACAGCATCTCCTCTGCCAGCAGCGCTCGAGCTCCTCCGGGCTCAAGGCTGTAAAATTGGGATTACTTCCTTTTTCTCCACTTGCAATAGGATTAGGTTGTTGAGTTCCCCCCCCCCCCAAAACATCATGTGCAAATAAAGGAAATCAAATTGTTTCTAATGGATTTTGTGCCGGTGGAAGGGGCTGGGTTGTTGACCTGGAGGCTGATGGAGGGACCAGGGAAGGCGAAGCCGTTAGCCAAGGGCTTCTCTTGATGGGCAACCTGGGACTGAAGAGGGGTTTGCTGTATCTCCCACATCAGAGTCTCTCATCTCAGGGAGACACCAGCCAGCAGAACTATAACTTGCCCCATCTGGGCTACCTTCAGGTGACGGTGCTGAGTTCCATGTGCGTGGTTTGGGGCCGTGACTGTCAGGTGCTTTTGGCCAGCGCGTGTCTGAGCGTGCCTGCTGCGTGCACCACCAGTGCAACCTGCTTCTGAGACAGCAAGACATCCCCTCCTCTCCTGCTCCCTTTGATGCCTTTGCTGTGGACCTGTAGCTGTAATTACAGCGAAGATGAATATCCCGTTTCCCCAGAGAGCTGCAGTAATTACCACTGCGCGGTGGCCCGTGAGAGCTGGAGCGGCGGGAGGCTGGGGCTTTGGCAGGAGAGGCGAGATGTGCCCCAGAGAGCGAAGGGAAGCTGATCTCCATTGGCATCTCCATCCCTGCCTCCAAAAGGGCATTTCCCTTACTCTGAAGCATCACTGGTGCAGGCGTTGTTAGCAGGAGCTGTGCTCTCTCCCCGTGTTCCCTCCGGTGCGCAGGCAGCGAGCAGCGTGCTGAGCGTGGCGTTCCCGGCTTGCCAGACATGCAGGGCTGTGCCAGCGCCCCGGGATGCAGCAGTTCGAAAGGGCCTTTGGGCTAAAGTCTGCAAGGGCAATTAAATATCAGCCCAGCTTCTGTGTGGCAGGCTATTCTCCAAGCTGAGCTCAGCCCATGCGGCACCTCCACAGCCCGAGCTTGCCCCGGGGCCAG